CAGGTTGCTTTTAAAAAGCATTTAAGGAGGATCTAGAAATTTGTGATCACAAGCCAAGTTGTATATCTTACCGTGGCTCATTCTAATTTCTGTATCATTAGAACTAGGAATATTATACCTCTTATTTTCACTATGTAGAAAGTCACTCCAATACAGGTGACGAATCTTCTTCCCTCCCTCCCTCCCTCAAAGTTTCGTAAGGTTTCCAATTCTAAGGGGTGCAATGCATTGTTGAGATAAAGTGTCTTGTCTGAGAACACGACATAGTGTCACAAACAACGAGTGACTGCCGCAAAGGCAAAGTTAAATTCATGAAAGAATCGTATTTGCAAGCTATTTCGCCCGAAAAAAATAGTGTCATATTCATAACACGCTTGCCCATCCATTCACCTCATTTCCTATTTTTCCTTAAAAGATAAGTAAAGAATTTTTGCGCAACTTGAGACTTCACCATTTTCACTCACAGGTATCCCAAGCTCCTTGGGAGCCGTTAAAATTACATGACATTGCGCATAAACATTAAATATCAGAGTCGTAAGAGAACCCAACCATCGTAATATGAAAAGTAAAAATTCAAAAGTAACGAGTTACTTTGTCTCTTCTGTGCAACACTTGTGTTTCTGTGCCATCTTGAGTCCGTTTTAAAGCGATTTCAGTGCGTTTTTTAAAAGCAGTTAGCAGGTTAAATTAAAGAAATGCAGGTACCTGTTGAATACTTAATTTTCTATTTGGTTATGTCACCTAACGGTCTGTGCATAATATCCTGGAACTATTTCATAACACCTTTTAGCTGCTTTTACCCGAGAAATTAAGAATTCGCAATTAAACCATATATTTTAAATTAAAGCTTCATTATTAAAAGAAATCACACTTATTATATTTTAAATTAAAATGTGAGAAAAAGACTAAAGGATGGGAGGAAACCCATGAGGAGTCACAGGGCTTCTACTTGGTGGGCTTCCTGTAGCAAATATTATAATTACAATTTAAATGTACAACAATGACAAATCAATAACAGAGTAGAAATTGAGTAGAATTAACTCGTTATTCAACTTTCTAGATGTATAAAGCATAATTAGTCTAAAAAATTGTAATTTCAATGCTCTGATTAACGCCGATGACTTCTGAGTGTTCATTTCTGATTTTTTTTTTCGCTATAAAAAACTTTACAAATTATGCTCAGTGGGTGGGCTAGAAAGAAACAGTGCTTTAAAATTTCATAAGGCGACTGTCTTAATTTGAAACTATAATTTGCCAAAGTTGTTGTTATCATTATTAGTATATCAGACATAACTAGGTACCGTGCAATGCTTATTTAGCATAAACAACACAGTTTTTCTGAATGACTAATTCTGATTTTTTTATGAACTGCGATTGGCAGTTTTGATTTCAATTCAACTCTCTAGTTTTTTATTCCACAGGTGTAGCTATCGTAGGCAGCCCGAACTTTGTTTAAACCCAGCCTAACTTGAGGCTATACCCGAGTTCTATAGCACAACCCATAAAGCAAATTCGTGTTTAGAACAAACGTCATTGCTGTGTTTGGAAATTTGTCATAAATATTTTTGTCTAAAATTCCATCTACCTGCAATGTTTACACGCTTTTTGCTAGTAGGGGTCGACCGCAAATGGCGGTGGAAACAAAACTAACCAATGGCAAGCCACATTTACCGGCAACTTTGCTTACAGCAAGGGTGTGTCGATAAACTAACAAATCTCAGCAGCTGCTAACTTCGCGCCATCTGAAAACAAAGCAAATCACATTTTTTTTCAGTGATTTCATTCGTTTGCGGCGGTTAACAGAAAGCCAAAGAGCTGGAAAACGCTGAAGCTTAACTGGACCTACACGTTGAAGTTGCAAGGTGTCTGTTTGGGACAAACTAATTTCTTTTTGTGACCGCAGTCGTATTTTCCAAACGTTTCCACTAATATTGTTCTAAGTTTTGCAACCGGGTTATGTAGCGCCAAACTAACCAAGTTGAGGTAAGACACTAAAGATTCCTTATGAGGCAATAAGCAAGCAAAAGTGTGGTCGACAACAACAGTACCACCGAAAAGTTTGATTTCGATAAACAATACCAAGGTTACAAGTATCTCGAAGTTTACACATTGTGTCCTACTTTTACAATGCGGCTATCCTTTATCACGCATTTTGGCGCGTTGGTAATTTTGTTACATTTAGTAATTGGCACTGGTGCGGAATGGAAGAATCTTATCGAGGTGAAAGTGCCAGAAGGAAAACCGGAAGATTACGTAGTTTACAGACTACCGTTTCCCACTAAAGGAGAGGAGTACATGCTATTTTACGCACAGAAAGGGGACGCGCTTGACAAGGTCGGTTTATTCAAGGTCTCTAAAATTGGTGTTATCACAACTGTTCAACCTTTGATTTACGAGAGGGGAAAACCAAACGAGTACGATTTGACCGTAGTTCGAAGGTCTTCCAAAGAGACAGATGGAGGCCTGGCGACAACAGTTCGAGTGATAGTACAAGACGTGAATAACTTCCCGCCAGTTTTCACATACAGTCTCTACAATGGTTACATCAAAGAAAATTCTCCAGAGGGAACTGTGGTAATGGGCTTGGAAAATTGCTATGCTGATGACCGGGATACCTCAGGTGTAAGAGATTACAAAATAATAAAAGGAAATGAGAAAGGTTATCTTAGGGCTGTGAAATATGACGTTGGTGAGCACAGTTTTTTACAGCTAAAGGCAACCACTCGACCGATCAAGCGAGACGCGAAAAAACCTTTTTTGACGTTGACTGTTGAAGCAGAAGATATGGGCAATCCGCCAAAAACGTCACAAACCACAATCGAAGTGTCAATTGAAGAGGTGAACGATTATGTTCCTGTATTTGATAAAAGCAGCTACAAACGAGAAATAAGCGAAGATACTCCTATCATGATGCAAATTCTCAGTGTGCGAGCAATAGACAAAGACCAAGGAATTAGCGGTCAGGTTTATTATTTCTTCCAAACATTGTCGAGTTATTTTACGGTAAACGCCTTTACAGGTGCCATTACGCTGGTGCGTGAGTTGGATTATACACAGGCAGACCAGCGAGTGCACCGGTTGACTGTCATCGCACGGGATGCAGGAACACCCAGTAAACAGTCCACGGCTACTGTTACCATCACTGTTCCCGTGGATATTTCCAACTTCCCTCGCCCGGCTTCCACGACTTCCAACCAAGAAAATGCGGCACCATTTTTTCCTAGAGCACCGTACCACTTTACACTTCACACATCGTTTCCCATCAGGGGTAGTCTTGGTGTTATTTTGGCAGTGGATGAAGATCCACCGGGATCCAACAGTGCTCTTCGTTATGCGCTGCAAAATCCGTCTGGCGATTTCACTCTAGATTCCAACAGCGGTGTTCTGACAGTTAACAAGGAACTCGACGCGAAGACATACATCTTGTCGGTAAAGGCTGAAGACCAGGGTAACCCACCGAAAGGCGCTGAGGCACAAGTTAAAGTTGAAGTCGAATCCATAGATAATCCATTCAACCATCCGACCTTCAGCAATCCTATACAAGTAATAACGGTCCAAGAAAATACTAAAATTGGCACATCTGTGTTCACAGCATCGGTAGTCTCCGACGCGAGCACGGACAAAGGAGTAGTATATTCGGCAATCTTCGGTTCTGCGCTGCCATACTTTGAACTGAACGAAGATACGGGTGTATTGAAGACGGCCGCAGCACTCGATCGAGAAAAGCACGGCATGTATGAATTAATGATAGAAGCAAGGAACAAGGAGGAAATTCCACGCCATTGCCATCTGTTTCTGATAATAAAAATCGCAGATGAGGACGACTCATACCCTGATTTCTCCAGGCCAGTTTATAGCGCTAGTGTACCAGAGAATAGCCAAATCGGTACTTTTGTCACAGTCATCCACGCCATTGATCAAGACAATCCTTCAGTATCTTACGACCTGTCCATATCGTCCTCTGAATTTCAAATAGAGGCAGGAACTGGAGTAATCAGGACGAAAAGAAAGCTCGACCGAGCAATTGGAGACAGGAAATTTCTCCTTCATGTGACAGCAAGTGACGAAGGGGGAAAGACTGCGCACGCGAATGTGGACATCAATGTGACCAGCGCACACGATTCTAGTCCAAAGTTTGCTCTGGAAAAGTACCAGGCCTCACTGCGAGAAAAGCAGGGAATGGTTCCTAATTTGTTGTGCATAGCTGCGACTGGAAGTAACGGCCCAGTGACATATTCGATCAAATCGGGAGCCAATGAAAGATTCACCATCAACGAGAATACAGGTAAAAATTTACCATGCCTTGATTAGGTTAACCTAGTTGAGAAACAACCTCTTAAAGATCAACAAATTTCAAAGTCACTAAATCTGCTACAATTTATATCATGTTTCGCGAAAACTCCTCATCTTTCTATTGCCTCCATAGAGCTTAAATTTTTATTTTTATTTTTATAACAATCATTTAACTGTTAACAGACCTACCAGCCTTGAATTAGTATAATGTGCATGTGGATTGAATGCCTTAAAACCAAAAGTATGCTAATCGCTAAGGTTACTTACTTAATTAAGTAAACAAGGATTGCTGGCATCAAGCACAAGAAAATGCGAGTGACGAAAATGATAAGCGATAAGTTTTAATTTGGCATCTGATTGATTGAGAAGTTAGCCCGACTGACTTAACTTACCACAAGCGGTTTAGAAGCAAGAAAAATTGAAATAACGTACCACTCAGGCTCCCGCTTAACTTAATTAATGAAACTAAAATGAGTTGCAGTGCCCAAATATGATTTTCATAACATAATGACAAGCTCCTAGTTGACTTGTCAGCTCAGTTGGTAGAGGGCTGCACCGGTATCGCAGTGGTCACGGGTTCAAATCCCGTACGGGCCCAAATCTTTTTCAGGCCTTATTTCAACTACTAGTTCAGTAGTGTTCATAACTGCGAGGATCGCTTATATTCGATGAATCTCAGCTGTTACTCATTATGCCCCACCCAATGAAAACTACAGAGTTCTGCAATTAATTGTTGGCTTTTTTATTTTGATTAGAATGACATTGAACATGATCAACCTAAAAGCGATTCCGAAAAATTCTATCATCTTCTAATTGAGGTATAATTATCGTTTCATATCAGAGACCAAATTTGTATCTTGAGGCAACAAAATGTATCCTAACATTCCGAGAGAGGGGAGTACTTAGACGTTGTAAAAGTAGTCGCCATGAGATTGCGATATTTCAATAACATCCAAAGCACTTGACGAAGAATGTTTTGAGATAAAACAGAAGAACAAATCAAAACCAAATTAGAAAAAAATAGTGACAATTAAAATGGTTTTTCTCTTAAGGTACCGCAATAAAAAAGATTAACCTGAAAATATCGCGTGTTACTGAAAAAAGAATGAAATTAAATTCTCGTTGCGACTTTTCAAAATTTGTAGAAATGAGCGCTGATTTCATAAAAAGTTAAGCACTTCACAAGTCAGAAATATCAATGTAAAAAATCCAAGATTACCTAAAAAAAAAAAAAACAAATAACCCAAAGACATTTTACATATGCAAACTGGGTCATAGCTTAGTTCTCATGGACAGTTGGCGTAAACTTATATCAAATACAGCAGATGACAAAGTAATCTAGTTAACTGACGCTGATTTGAATAGTGGATTTTGATGAAAAGAAATTACTTTGTGCTACTTGCGTGATGAGCCACAGGCGCAATAAACATGGCTAACTTATTGAAAATAACTGCGAATATATTCAAAATTATCGACTTAAAAAGAGAATTCATTCTGCATTTTCTGATAGACAGAGGCCTTTCTTTTCAACCTAAACGCAAAATCTGCAGACACATCCCTTCGTCGAATCGATCCATTGAGTGCAGGAGAACCAACAGATTTTTATAAAACGAATAGCCAAGCAAAAAAAGATGCCGCAATGCTGACTGTTTTGAATTGACTGTGACTTCACTTCTCATTTATTGTTGAAATTTCCCCTGCAGGTACCTTGTCAGTTTTAGATTCCTTCGATTACAGGACCGAGAAAGGGTATGTTCTTACAGTCGTAGCCAAAGGCGAGAGCTCCTCAAAAACGTCGTCAACTACAGTGACACTGTCAATTACAAACGATGACGGCCCGCCGGTCTTCGTTAAGAAAAGCTATGAAGTTGTAACTCAAGAAAACGTTAATGTTGGAACAGCTCTACTTGTCGCTGGTGATGGATTTCGTTTCTCCACCGACGGTAGGCCCGCAACCGATTTTATCTGTTCCCTAGATGACATCACGAGTAGGGAAATACTGGATCACTTTCAAGTGGATAGAATAGGTTACGAATGTCACGTAAAAGTGATTAAAAATTTTGTTCAAGTCTCCAACCGAGAATTCACTTTTCAAGTCCGCGTGACAGACATCAATCAAAGGAACCTGTTTGATAAGGCTGGCGTGACGGTAAAAGTAACAGACACGAACGACTATGCCCCCGAGTTCACGCAATCCTCCTACTGGGTTTCCATCGCCAGTGACACTTCCCTGGGAACCAGTTTAGTACAAGTGACTGTCTTTGACAGAGATACCCCTGGAAAAACTGAGTTTGTTTTAGAGCTCTTATCCGAGGGTGCGGATGACAGGTGTGTAACTGTTTTAACATAGGCTTACTAGGATAATCAGAATGATACTCCTCAATATCTCTCATAGGTCTCTTCAGAAGGTCTTCAGCCGCGAACTGCAAGTGCCATTTGGTATTTCGCAGCCATTTAACCTTTTACAACCCAAACTCGGTGTGCATATTCTCCACACCGTTCTCTATATGTTTACTAAGGCGCTGACAAGGAGAATTTGTTTAGCAATCACGAGGTTCTTTAGTTAGTGATCATCTTCTTTATTCTCGTTACCTGAATGTTTGGTTCAGGGGTGTTATTTTAAAAAGAAATTAGTATTAAGGGTTAAGAGGTTCGGTGCCGTAATATAGTGTAATATGTTTGTCTTCCCTGTCCACCCGTCCTCGCAAAAAAAAAAAAATCATTGTTTTTAATTTCTTTAGGAAGGGATTCCTTCATGTAAAATTTTGGGTGCAATTAATGTGTAATGTAGAAATCCTAAAAAACCGATAACTATAGTCCCGGCTGAATTTTCAAACACCTAATTTAAGATCGCGTTAATCGCACACAACATGAGTTGTGAGCCTAAAAGAATGATACATTTACGTATATGTATCCAAAATGAGAAGCCATCCAAACGGCCAAACATGCAGCACCAGCAGAATCTTGGACGAAAATGTTTGATTATTTAGCCAGGGCTTTAGACATCTCTCTGAATATAGAATTTGAGCATTTAGCTATACTTTTGAAAACAAACAATGCAATTGTAAGCCTTCTTATGTATGCTTCAGAATCAGATTATTTTTCCTGTGGTGATTGTTGAAATTTCGATCCCATTTTTATTTCATTTTTTCTATTGGTTGGATAGTCAACTTTTTCTCGTCTACTGTCGACTCCTCTTTGACTCCGTTCTATCTTCTTTCTCGACAGATTTCAAATAGACAGCGATGGCATAGTTCGCACGATTACATCGGGTCTACCCGAAAACAGAATTTTCAACCTCAAAGTCAAGGCGAAAGAAACAGGTAGGTACATAGTTCTGCAGTGATGGTGACTTCTCTGTCTGTCTGTCTTTCATATTACGAATCAGATAGACGTTTTTGATGAAATGCCTTTTTCACGTTTAAGTTTAATGGGAAACGCACTGAAGGTATTGAAAAGCTTTTCCGCTGGATTGTATTGTCATCGTAAAAACATATTTTTGTATTCAGCATCATAAAATATCTGTGATGAAATGAAATAAGATTTTTTTTAATATGACAAAAATTTAACCTCTGGCTCATTCCACACTTCTAAATAATTGCTTCTCGTCTAACTAGCTATTAAAAATCAGACAGACTAAGGAGAAGCGGCCTGCTCCCAAAACCTGTTCTGGATAGTGAGTGTAGAAATAAGTATCTAGAAAATTCTGGGAAGAATGCCTAGTCATGCTGACATGCATATCATGAAACTTTCAAGAACATTTTACTAAGTCACGTAATCATAATGTAATGTCAGTGTTGACCTAAGATGTAGACTGTTGTGGGCTTAGGTAAGTGTATTAAGATAATTACTGTACTGCCTTTGATAAAATTGTTGAGTTTGTAGTATAGCGTTCTTTCTGTTGGTTAGATTGTACCGTAAGAAACCATATTTTTTTTTGCCGCAACTGAAACGTTTTTATAAAATAATGACATTGAAAATGTTTTAATAATCAACAGGATAACTTGTTTATTCAAGTATTTTTTCAAATATGCTTGAAACTCGATTAAAGAGGAAGCCATTTTAAAATTTGCCTGGGAACATGGGCTCTCGTCTGTAATTTGGCGAGATTTCATTTTATTATCATTTTTTTGGATAAATCGAAAGCTGTTTGATGACATAGAACCAACACGAAAAAGCGCATTTTTGGCTGAAATAATGAGTTCTTGTAAGTGAGAACCAGTGCAGCATCTACTTGTAAACCGCGCGTTGGAGTTTTGAGTGCGAGGCCTAGCTACCGAGCTGTTTCAAGTTGACAGTCTACCGGCAACTATTGAACGGGAAGTTTAAAATCATAGTCTTTAGACACGGGGAATACCACATTTTGCTTTAGGTATGCAAGAGCCAAAAAAAATACTTCATAATGTCAGGTGGTAAACTCTACGATCATACATGATGAACCAAATGGTTAATCCAAACAATAACATGGGTCGCAAGTCTAGATGGTTAATTTAGCACTCAAAAGCAACACGAGATGTCATCCAAACTACGCAGTTTCACTCACATTGGAGCAAAGTGGGTCCTAATCTACGTATACTTTCCATCTCACACAGGTACCGATCCCCAACAAGAGAGCGAGGTGTCATTGAAAATCTCCGTGCAAAGGACGCCTTTCGTTCCGGTCGAGTTTAGCAGTAACAGTTACCTTCAATCTCTCACTGAAGACGCAACCGTCGGCGCGTCAGTGTTCACCGTGAGTGCTTCGCGATCAGGTTCAGACTCCGGAACCCTAACATACTCCATAGTAGGCGGAAATCTGGACAATGCTTTCAAAATCGATACCAGCAGCGGTAAGGTGACCTTAGCTAAGAATCTTGACTATGAAACTACCAAGAAGTACAACTTGATCATCCGGGCAACTTTTGATTTCTCCGATGGAAATATTCCGGATGTTGCAGCCGAGGTTACAGGCCAGGTTACTGTGCAGGATGTTAATGACAATAGTCCCAGGTTTCTCCTTTACAACCGACCAACAAAAATTGCGATTGAGAGCTATACGCCAAGTGCCACGGAAGTGATGAAGGTAATTCATTATTGATGTTATTGATACAAACGTAGACTCAGGTATTAATAAGTAAAAAGCCATGGGGTAAATTATGACAGGACAGGACAAGTTGATGCGGCACTGGATTAAAACACTGGAGCATAGACGAGAACAATTTTTTTTTATATTTAACAATTTTTCGCTGGAGAAGTAAGAGAATATTGTTGAATACTATCCGAGAGGAAATATTCACTGAGCCTGAGTTGACTAAATATTTTTGGGTAATTTTTCTGCTGTTATTAGAGCAAAGACGTGAATTTTATTTCATTTCTTTGCATCCAAGTTGTTAGGCATCAGACAACACTACGTAGTCACTCTTTCTTGCTATTTAATGACGAGCTGGTCCATCGCCTAATTGATTTTCCATTCAGAAACTATATATGATCGCGGTTCCTTTCTGTTAAAGATACGGTTTAAAATCTATTTTCCCCAGGTGACGGCAACAGATGAGGATACGGGAAACTTTGGCTCTGTATCGTATAATATTCATGACTCCGCAAGTAATCCATCCGTTGACATTCCATTCTCCATAAACTCTGTCACAGGCTCGCTCAAGACCAACAGAGAAATCAAGTATGGTAGAATATAATTTATATCAATTAACAACCATTTGGCTAATCGTCGGATGAACAGAAAAATGTACTTAAATGTATTCTGCACGAGATTCTCTTTTTCAAACAATCTGTGATCTCGAGTCTGGTTAGGACCCTTTATTTTTGAGCGCATTCGATATAAAAATCAAGACAAAAAGCGTTTCTTTCTTTTTACCGATTTTTTTAAGAGCAGAATTCGGGGAAAAGCTTCAGAAATCGTATGCAAATTGGACTTTAGAAGCTGCTTCTCCTTCTCTGACTTAGTACTTCTTTGGTGTATTTAGATTTTCAGAAGGAAGCTTCTATGCGATAGTAGTAAGGGCTGTAGATGGAGCCAGCCGAGAAACTGCCGTGACCATTGAAATAACAGTCTTGAATATCGGAAAGCCTCCGACATTCAAACAAGAGGAGTACTTGAAAAGCGTTAGTGAGAAAAGTCCCGTTGGTACCAGTGTGATCGACATAAAAGCTGACCATAACGACCCCACTGCCCCATTAAAATATGCAATCATCAATGGTGACCCCGAGAGCAGATTCTGTATAAACTACTTGGGTGTTATTAGTGTGGCGCAGCCCCTGGATCGCGAGAAGGTGCCATCATATGAGCTCTCAGTAATGGTGTCCCTAAATAACAAAAACAGTACCACCGTTGTTAAAGTTACCTTGCAAGATGCCAACGATCACGCACCGTCTTTTGAGAAGTCAATTTTGGTCATAAACGTCCCTGAAAATGAAGGTTTGTTTTACACTGATGAAGGAGAAACCCCCATGCCATATGTAGTTTAAAAATCATTAATTTTCCGATACTTTCTAACCAACTTTCTTAGAAATGTCCCCAATCTTAAAATGCCATCGTAAGGTATGTAATGCTTTAGTGGAGCCTTCAGATCGTGCTTCATTTTCTAGCTGTGTCACAAAATGAAGAACTCTTTTTGTTTTCGACTTGTTCCTCTTTTGTCAAAAACTCAAAAGACGCAGAAACTCAATAAGGGTACACCACAGAGCGTTTGACTTAATATTTCAGGAAAAAGGGAAAAATTATAACTTTTAACTGTCTTGCATGATCCAAAATGCTTCCAAAACTCAACTAATAGTCTCTGGATAATACTATATGAATCCCTGGAATTCAGAAGTCACAGCAGTATATGGTTCTTTGGCATCACAACCAGTGCTAACGCCCAATTATTTAATTTTTTTCACACCAGTCAATCTCAATTTAAAACGTTTGAAGGCAATTGATCAGGACAATGGTGATTACGGAAAAGCAACTTACTCCATCATACAGAGTGTCAGGAGTGACACTAAAGAGCTTTTTGAGGTAGAGCCCGATAGCGGTTGGGTCAAACTGAAAAAGCCTCTGGATCGTGAGAAAGCTGCTGAACATGTGCTGTTCATCAGGGCACAAGACAGTGCACAACCAGAACCACTGAGCGGTAAGTCAATGTAGACTATGTCTTGAAACTGTGAAGTCGCTTACGACTGCCTCACCACTGTCCGTTCCTTAGTATTTGTTATTTAATAATAGTAGTATTAGTATTATTTATTAATATTTGAGCCATAAATCGATGGGAAACTCTCCGCTAAAAAATATTCTGCTTCAACCATTTTTGATCATGTCATGAGTTTGGGCGGTGGTATGGCTGCCGAGATTTGCGTTATATTTTTCATGGCTCGCGTGGTTTAATCTCATCAGTCAAATCGGTCAAATCGAGTCAAACTCAAGGTAGAGGCAACAAATTTAACTTATTAATTATTGATGTTTGGGTTTATTTTTTTCAGATATTGTCAAGTTAATTATCCGAGTAACAGACGTAAATGACAACAAACCACGTTTCTCTACTTCTTCTTACCAAGCCTCAATACCTGCCAACCTCAAACATGGAAGTAAAGTAGTCCAATTATCCGCCACAGATCTAGATAGTGGTGCCAACAGACTGTTATATTACACCATAAAGGAGGGCAACAAGGACGGTATTTTTGAGATAAAAAATGACAACGGACTTATCACCCTAGGCAATAGGCCTCTAGCGTCTGCACTCCAGGACACATTCACTTTAATTGTGGAAGCCGCCGATGAAAAGGACAGAAATAAAAAAGACGAAGCAACGGTGTTGATAAATGTGTTTCCTCCTGATGGACCCCCGCGGTATCCAGATCCTTCGTTAAGTTTCGACATACAGGAGGGAATCTTGGCTGGACAGAAGATCGCATCAGCAGCCGCAGCCACCACAGAGTACGTCATTTACACCATACTGTCGGGTAACGAAGATGGTGTGATTCAAATTGATCCTTTCTCGGGGGATCTAGTGACGGCTCAAGAGCTCGATTATGAAAAAGCCGATCGGTATGAATTGCACGTAATGGCGCAAGATATCAAAGGACGGAAAGCTGAAGTCAAAATCACCATTAACGTCATAGATATCAATGACAACAGCCCGTTCTTCATCGATGAGGTCAAAGGGAAGGTCGATCAAAGAGCAACGGCAGGTGCTCGTGCAGGTGACGAAGTGGCCCAAATAGTAGCATACGATCTAGACAATGAGTCTTCCATGAAGTACAAATTATCCCCTGATGCAGAGGCTTACATTGACATTGACGACCAGGGAATTATTCGTGCCAAAAGAACTCTTGACGGTACTATTCCCGGAAAGCGCTCTACTGAACCTTTAAGGACATTAAATTTCAATTTAGAGGCTCGTGATGGTGCCAATCCACCGAATTCTGTAACAACATCTGTGCGCCTGGCATTTACTAATGACCAAGCAGGCCAAAACACTGTGGCCTTAAGGGTTAGGGAGGACACGCCGGTCGGTAAGGTTTTTGCCGTGACTCCCAGATACATTCCTGGTGGAAAGTTCTCCATCTTGTACCCAGAAGAGACCCCTTTCTCTGTCGACGAGGAGGGCAGAATTCAACTCAAAACGTCACTCGATTTTGAAACTCAAGCGGTGTACACTCTGACAGTCCGAGAAGAAGCTTTTACTTCCAGTGGTCCCATCTTCAACGATATAAACTTCGAGATCTCTGTCGTAGATGTCAATGATAACGATCCCCGATTTGAATTGAGGCAAAGGCATGGAACAGTGAACGGTAACGCTCAGGCTGGTGCTTCGGCTTTGAAACTTTACGTATCGGATGCAGATACTGATGCGAATGGACTTGCAGGTTACCAACTTGTCACCAGTAACGCTCCCTTTGGCATTGACCCGTTGGAAGACACTCTAAAGGTTGGCGGCCCTCTAATGAAGTCTCAGTACGACCTAGAGATACGTTCATTTGATTATGGAGTACCTCGACGCCAGAACAGCCCATTAAAACTTCGATTAGATGTTGGACAACTGCCTCCAAGATTTATCGACTTTCACGACGATGGGTACAAGTTTGAGGTGCCCGAAGACGCTAGGGGTGGGACTGTAATAGGAAAGATCCAAGCTTTAAGTGTCTCAGGTAGCAGAGTGGGATATAAGATTTCAGATGGAAACTCAGGTAATAGATTTCGAATCAACAGTGATGGTGAAATCATGCTCAATTTTCTCCTGGATTACGAGACACAAGCAAAGGAATATGAACTGCAGGTGGAGGCTATCGAGATGATTCCTTCCGGTCTGATCTCTTCAATCGATGTCAAAATCTTAGTTTTGAATGCTAATGACCACCATCCTATGTTTGAACAAGGATCGTACACGGCTACCGTGCCAGAAGACGCGGCCTTCGGGAGCTCGATATTGACTGTAGCCGCTACAGACTGTGACTGTAGCCAGGATTGCAGTTGCTCTTCAGGGCAGTTGAGCTACTCAGTGAGAGATACCGAGTATTTCACAGTGGATCCCGACACTGGAGTTATATCACCAGCACGTTCTTTGGATTACGAACGCATTATAACACACATATTTCAAGTCCGTGCATCTGATCATCTGAGGAATAAAACGAACGTAGCTTTGGCGTATGTTAAGATCAATGTTACGAACGTGAATGACAATCAACCCAGGTTTGCAAATCCCGAGTATAGTTTCTCCGTCGACGAAGATGCACAAGTTGGGATAGGATTAGCGGTGATTGAAATTCATGACGATGACCACGATGAAATTACATATTCCATAGTCCAAGGGAGCAGCCCTTTCACAATAGATGCTAGAACTGGGGTCATTTCTCTTTCACGAAAACTTCCCAGCAGTCCTTGGGAATATACGTTCACCATTCGAGGAACGGATTCAAACGGAGCCTTCAGCGACGCGAAAGTTTTCATGACCATCAGGGATAAGAACAACAATCGACCAGTGTTCGAAAAGTGCGAGGACTCTACAGTGACAGAGAATCTATCCCCCGGACAAGTAGTTACCCAGATTGTGGCTACAGACGTGGACAGGGGTTTAGGTGGAGAAATAGAATACAGTCTGGCGTATGGCGATGAATTCTTTGAGATTGATAATACCACTGGTGTGCTAAA